TAATATTTATTTATTTTTATTTATTACATTTATTTATTGTGTGTGTGTGTGGCCAGCTCAGCCCACCAGGGGGCGGGTCTGGCTGGCATGTGGTGTTGGGGATTGAACCGAGGTCCCTGTGCTTTGCCAAGCTTGTTTCAAGTAGGTGCTTTAGACCACTGAGCCATCTCTCCAGCCCCAAGGTTGTCAGGAGGCTAGTTGGACTGAATAGGTTTTTTTGTTTTTTGTGGAACCGGGGTTTGAACTCAGGCCCTCACGCTTACCAGGGAAGCGCTTATTCCACTGAGCCATCTCCCTGGCCCCTAATCTTATATTTCTACGTAACTTTTTTTTTTTTTTTTTTTTTGGGCGGAACTGGGGATTGAACTCAGGCCCTTGCGCTTGCCAGGGAAGCGCTTATTCCATTGAGCCATCTCCCTAGCCCTATATAAACATTTTTATGTTGTCTTTGAAGTTTTATTATAGTTCTTCATGGCTGAAGATTTTATTAAGTGCTGTTCTCAGGTGATCCTGTACTTTTTTTGAGGTCAAAAATAAAGTTGTTTATTACCAGCAAGGGCAGTAAGGAGCAATCCGACTGCTGGTCCCAACTGTGTGGTGCTGAGGATTGCCTCTGGGACCTCCCACGTGCCGCGCACGTGTCTGCCTGCTGAGCCCCAGTCCTCTCAGCACACTTGATTATTGAATGCTTAAAAAATTAAAAATTAGAATGGATGTAACTTTTCAGAGTGAAGAATGTTCAAAACCTCAGTACTGTGGGAAGCTGAGGCAGAAGGATTGCAAGTTTCAGCCCAGCCTGGGAAACTTACCGAGATCCTGTTTCCAAAATAAGGTGGGGGGAATGTGGCTCAGTACATAGGCTGTGTACGCGTGCATGTGTACGGGTGGGTAAGGGATTAGATTCTTTTTGCCATCTCTTTGCTGTCCTCAACTTTGACTTCCTCCTGTGGCTAATTCCACGGGCTCAGTCAGGGCTACCATAGGCCTTGCCGAAGCCGGAGAGTGCAGGATGTGGTGGTGGTTAGGGATTCACTGGCCTGGTCCACAGTTCCCCACCTCCACCGATGACAAGAATGATCTGCTCTTGCTGAAAACACAGCTTCTGCTTTTGGCCTTTGTGTTGGAGGTTATGATTCCATGCCACTGAGCAGGGGGATGGGAATTTGAGGGTCAGCAACTTGCTCGAGAGATCCTTGTCTTTAGAGATGACTGGGACTTGTTACTGTGGAGTGGGTGTCGGTCATTTTATCACAGAGATGAAATCTTCGTTAGCTTTGGTTTTCTCACCAGGATTCAGCGGTTGAGTAGCATTTATATATTTATTTTTAAACTGAATTTCTTTTTTAAAATAATATTAAATTCAAATTTTATTTAACGATTTCAAATTATATACATTTCAAATTTCTAAAATGGCATAGAACCATCTTGGAATGAAGAAATGGCACAGAGGAACACTAACATCCCCTGAATCTCAAATTTTGTAAAGGAAATAATTTATCTGCAAATCACATCCCATTATGTAACAAAATGAACTATCTACCTCTGTACTTTGGCAATAGCTATTTTCTAAAAGAATAGGAAAAAATGATTTTGTTATTCTTTAAAAATGGAATTCTATCTTTAAATTAAATATTTAAAGATCAGAAAAAACTATATTTAGATGTAATGTGATTACCAACACCTCCTTCCCCCCAAAAAACACCACCAAAGAATGTCTTATCAAAATCATTGTGAAAATAAAAAGGAAAAACTGAATTTCTTTTTGCATACCTTATATTAGCTTTTTACATTTTAGCATTTGCTGAATTTATAGCTACTTTTCAAAGAAAGATTAACAAGGGCTAGAGGCAAAAATAATGAGAATGTTTTCTTTTTTGTCTTCTTCCTTCCTTCCTTCCTTCCTTCCTTCCTTCCTTCCTTCCTTCCTATATATATATGGAACCCAGAGCCTTGTACATGCGACACAAGTGCTTTCCTAAGCTACATCTCCAGACCACTAATAAAATATTTCTAAGTAAGAGTCATTTATGTGGGGAAAAAAGTCCACTGAAGATCCCTGACCCCAGCAGCAACAAACTCAGATTGTTTACCAGTGTAGACCTCAAGTGGGGAGATATGAATAATACCAAATCTTAGTGCGTGTCAGATACTGTATCATTATGCATCTGTTGGAACCACAAAGAACAAAATTGATTTCTGGGATTGGCAACAATGAAATTCTTCTTGTAGAATTCTCTATATTTTTCCTAGAAAAAATATTGTTAAAAGAGTATTCCCTGTAAGGAAAAAAAATTAAAACAGTTAATCAGAAGCATGAAAACAAACTCTGGACTTTTGACTATGTACAGTTTGCTTTTCTTGAAAATGTGATGTAAGTGGAGATTTTGATCCGCGTAGCAAGGGTTCCAAATGACCACGTTCCCCTTCATTTCTCACCTAGGGCTGCGGCTTTGGAGCAGTTCAAGTCTCTTGGTGCTGAACCCTTGGAGGTGGACTTGAAGGAGGCTGGTGAGGGCCACGGGGGGTATGCGAAGGAGATGTCCAAGGAGTTCATTGAGGCTGAGATGCAGCTGTTCGCTCAGCAGTGCAAGGAGGTGGACATCCTCATCAGCACGGCGCTCATTCCAGGTATGCGCTGAGACTATTCCCACTCCGCTTTTTTGAGACAAGAGTCTTGCTATGTAGTCCAGTCTGGCCTTGAAGTCATGGTTGGACTCCTACCCCAGCTGCCCACGTGCTAGGATGACAGGCAATAGCATGCCTGGCAAGACCATATCTTTTTTTTTTTTTTTAAGTGTAAGGATGGACTTTTTTTTTTTTTCATAATTTTATTGATAAACAGATAGCAATGAGACAGTTTCAAATCAAATCGTAGGACAGTTTCAATAACTAACACACTGCATATATTCTTCTTAGTGGTTAATTGCTGTACAAGATGCGGACTTGAGATCCTATTTACAAACACCATTAGAACAA